CCCCAAAACCCCAAAACCCCAAAACCCCAAAACCCCAGAGTCTTCGATATAAATTGATTTACAACACAAATATATACAATTTATTTTATTATTGAAAAATGATGTCCAGAACTTTCCCACTCCTCAGAAGGTGAGTGCTCCCTGGAGCAGCATCTGAGGCAAGCAATATCACACACAAGAGAACGCTTTACAGAGTTCATGTATGTCTGAACAGTCTCATGGCTTTCCCACAGAGAAGATTTGCTGCTGAAGCAGATTTTTTGGCAGGGTAGCAAGCTCGAAGTAATTCATTACATCATTGCCTAGGTCCTACACAAGCTAGAAGCTCTGGTAGAGCGAGGAAATGCAACAAAGCTGGATGATTTGGTCAAGAATGTTGATATCAAGGAAGGCGGCATTGTCACAGTCAACTTAGGTACTCTTTGGATGTAAACACATAGAGCTCACGAGAGAGTATACCAAGAATAAGGCGTTAATCCGGAATAAACTAACCGAACTCCCATGGGTCAAAGAAGTGAAGGTTAAAATGGCTCCTAAAGCTACCCAGGCAGCACAGCCTGAAGTAGAAGGTCTTGCGGATGTGAAGCATATCCTAGCAGTTTCTAGTTGTAAAGGAGGAGTCGGGAAATCAACAGTTGCCACCAACCTCGCTTTCTCCATAAGTAAGCTAGGCAAATAAAGTTGGAATTTTTGATGCTGATGTTTATGGGCCAAGCCTTCCGACTCTTGTGAACACCCAGGATTATGGACTTCGAGCTGACTTCGACGCCCCTGAGAAGATTATCCCACACGAGTACGATGGAGTGAAGTGAATGTCATACGGTTTCGTGTCAAAAGGTCAGAGAGCAATCATGAGAGGTCCCATGGTCTCAGGACTTGTCTCCCAGCTAATAAAGAACACTAACTGGGGAGAACTTGATTACCTTGTTCTTGATATGCCTCCGGGCACTGGAGACATTGCAATTACTCTCTGCCAAGAGATCAGCATAAGTGCCGCTTTAATAGTTACAACACCTCAAAAATTAGCGTATGTAGACGTCATCAAAGGTCTTGAGATGTTCGATAGTCTGAAAGTGCCAACTGTTGGCATCCTTGAGAATATGTCTTATTTTACTTGTGATGGCTGCAGCAAATAAACACAGAATCTTTGGCTCAGGCTACACAGACCAGATCATCCAGCAATTCGGAATCAAAAACTCCTTTGAAATTCCCATACTTCCTGAACTATCCAGATTGAGTGATGATGGAGCTCCTGCAGTTCTGGCTCTGCCAGAGGGAGTAGAGCTTGTTCGAAGGTATAAGCACATTGCGGAGAGCGTTACTGAAGAGTGCGAGCAACTGGAAGACATCAAGAATACAACGCCCGATGTATACTACTCTGTATCTGAAGGAGTTGTTAGAGTTGACCACCTAGATTCTAAGAAAAGCAAAAGAATTGACCCCAGAGAGCTCAGACTTGGATGCAAGTGAGCTGCCTGCATTGATGAAATGACCGGAGCTAATATGATCATCGAAGCAAACGTCCCATCAGATGTTTATCCTACAAATATGATCAAGAAAGGAAATTATGCCGTCGCTGTAGTGTGGAGTGATGGGCATAACAGTTCGATCTACCCCTACTCAAGACTGCTGTCCTCTGACTTTACAGATGTTACAAAATAACGGTTGTGGATTTTCAATATCCATATCCTAAATAGGGGTTTTGGGGTTTTGGGGTTTTGGGGTTTTGGGG